ATAGTTTAGACGTAATTAAACTCCCTGTTAGCAAATAATCATTGTTAACTTAACGACGGACTGTTTAAGATTAACAACGAAAATCATAAATCTACGGAATATTACACCGCATTTAAGTTCCAGATGCAATATAAATTATTTAACATAGAGGATCGATAACAAATCACATATTTTTTTAGTTTATATATTATACTAGTTGATAAATTTAAATAAAATTTTTTCAATTACACAAAATATTAAAATTTTATTATTGCAAGCGTATTAAAAATATTACAAAATTCATTTCGTAGGCTAACAAAGCAATGCGTAATATTTTCCAAATATAATACCATCACTTTTTTTATATCAACCAATAGGTTGCATCATATGATTGATTATACATAGGTCTAGTATACCCCCTTATTATTATTGAAAGCATAAATTCATATTAAGAATTAAATAAAAAATTAAAATTCCAATTACAAATAAATTCAAATTAAAAGAATTAAAACAAAACTATAAATCTAATAAAAGAAGTATTTCAAAATGCTCACTATTTCTCTTTAAAAATAACATTTCTTTTACTAAATCTGAAGATAAATGAGTTCGTTTAGTGAAATATGATTACATTCATCTGAAAATAATTGTTTGCTTAGAATTAAAATTGCAGGAATAGATAAATATTTTCTTGCAATTTGTGTTAAAATTAGTAAAATAGTCTTGTTAACTAACTACCATTTTAATAGATCATCTTTTAGTCCAACTTTTTTTATTATAAGTAAAGTTTAGCAACATTATTATCATCTTCAATATCATTTACATTACTTCTTACACTTTAAAAATATTATTTTTATTATCTGACAAAGATGAATTGTTAATAAACCTTTCTTTTGGTGGAAGATCATTTTTTGCATTATTATATAAGTCTTGAACTAATATTTCAGCTTCATTTTTACCATGACCATTATACTATTTAAAGGTTTTAAATCGAGGATCCAAAAATGATGCAATGAATATTATGTCAAATGAAACTGACTAAAGTTCATCTAAGAATACGTGAACTTTTTGTTGTAAGCAATTAATATTTACTGGTTGTAAATATTCTACATTACTTATATTATCCAAATTTAATTCAGTTGAATAAATTGTTTGAGCTCTACCTCTTATATGATTTTGACCTTGGTTTTGCCTATTACTATGACATTAATGATGTGCATAATACCAATGTTATCTTATTCTACCTAAAGGAATATATTCATCATTACTTATAATATCAAAATCCTCAGTATCATCTTTAATATTAGAATCATATACCAAATTAATATAGGTATCAGAACCTTCACCTTTTCTTCATTCAAAGCAAATGATTTTTTAAGTAAATGCATATAAGGAATAATAAGACTTAAAGTTAGATATGCAGCTCCACAAATTTTACGAGTTATAGTTTCAAATAGTTCTAATATAATAATCATTTGTTAAAGAAACTATTATAAAAAAGTAAATATTAGGATTTTAAAGTTTATATTAAATTTTTAATATTATAGAAAATAAAAATAAATTAATTTTTATCTTTTTTCATCTGGACTTAAACATAATTGTTCTAATTTTTCACCCTCTCTTTGAGAGACTCAATTAGCATTTAAAAGTAATTTTGTAAATACAATTCTCATAGAATTATGTAATTCTAAAATTCTTTTCTATGTATAATATGTAGAATTCCATTAGTTTTAACATCAGTCAAAACATCAAGTGGATTTACTCTTTCATCTTTAATTAATTGACCATTTGTTTGAGCTACTTAAAGCCTTTCTACTTGTTTTGGTAGATAAAAAAAATTTGTAAGCTTTTGATTCGATAATGAAATGCTTTATATTACTTTAAACCTTCTAATACTGAAAGTTGTAAGGTGTATACTATGCAGGGCTGATATTATATTTGGTCAATATAAGTTTCATTTAATAAATGAACTGCCTTTATCATGTTTGCTTTATTATTTATTGCTATTGTAAAAACTGTTGAAGTTAAATGCCAATCTTCTAATATTTGAAATAATTCATCACTTATAATTTCACCAGTATGAGAATATGGAAGGTGATTACAAGTCAATAATGCTTCTTTAAACTCAAAATTTGAAGTTAACCATGTTGCAATTAAATCAAGATAACCATGCCAGGAGTTAGCTGTCCAAAGGTCAGTTGTTAAATGAACAGTTATCATTATACTTCTTAACAATAATTGAAGTTGCTCTTTACTGCATTAATATGCTGTATAAAGTATTCCCTTTAGGGTTTTATCACATGAAATTCTATAACCGATTTACATGTTAGTAAAAGATTCTGAAATGCAGAGTTTTGAAGAATATATAAAGGTTGAACATTTTTGATAATAAAATTAGTGACTTTTTGAGTGATTATTTTTTGTCGTATAGCAGAACATGATGTAGAATTAGAATTATTTAAAAATCTGTAATTCTCCATTGATTCCTGTATGGTTATTAAATTGCAAATTAAGAAATTAGAAATTTTGATCATTGGCATTACAATAAAGAAAAAAATTAAAAAAAAAGACTTCTTCTCATTCATCCAAAAATTCAAAATAGTTATTTTTTGTTATATTATGTTTATCCTATAAATGCAATATAAGGTTAGTGGTATTTCTACCCTTTCTAGTATAACTATAAGCAGATTTATTTGTTCCTGTAAAATTAATTTCGCAAAATTACAATAAGCAATATCAGATTCTACTTGAAAAAAATACGTTATATTGCTACAATTGCTTCGATTCTGATGTCTTGTTTTTTGTTTTTTATTAGTAATGCTACTTCTACTATTTTTTGTACTTGCAGTTTCATTGATAGTTTCATTTTCAGAATCGGACATGTTTTTTAACAAAAAAAGAAACGGAAATTTTTAAGAATAAGTTTCAATGCATGCATGCAATCTGATATGAAATATTTTCATGTGATTTTATAAAAGGTAAACTATTAGTATAATCGAATGCAACTAAAAATAGGCATATGTACGTTAATTTTTATGTGTTCTAATTGCAACCAGTTGTGCAAATTGGATGCAACCGGTTTAATAGCAAACCAGTTTAAAATAATAACCTAAATTAGCAAAGAATCGGTTTAAACCGAATTTAAAACTAAATTGATAAATCTGATTTCAATCTTTAGTTAAAAGTATGATTATTATGTAAATTTTTAAATTTGTTTGCAGTTTATATTAAAAAATGCATAAAATTATATTAAATTAAAATATAAAGTGGTTAACAATAATTCGATTTGAATAAAAATAATATTTTTAAAAACTAGAGTATAATACATTTAGAGGATGTATTAATATATATAATTATTTAAAAAAAATCAAGATAATGTCTTGTATCAGTATTTGTTTCATATGATAAAATAGAAAGTCTATCCACTATGCTATATGCTACCAGATCTGCCTCAAAATTGTGTAATGCATACAACTCTTTTTTTTTGATTTATTCAATATTCAATATATATATTTTACAATTTTCGGGTATCCATTTTAATAAGCTCTAATTTGTCATATCCTTATGTCTGTGTTTCAGAACTGATTTTAATTACTACACATACGTGATGAAATTCAATATTACATTTTTATAGCCTGGTAAATATCTTCTAAGTATGATATAATATTAGTGAAAAACATACAGTATTTTAAAAAAATTTTAACTTCATTTTAGGTGACTTTTAATATTATAAGTCTTTATTTTCGAATATTAAAAATTTATTAAAATATGCTATTAAGAAAAAATGATTTTTTTTTTTAAAAAAATTCAAACATTAAGAAAAATATACAATTTATTTTTTTTTTAAAAAAAACTATATAATGAAAGATTAAGAAAAACAAATGTTTATTTAATTTCAAAATCTTCTATAGCGAATAAAATTCAAGCCTTCTTTTTGCCCAGAATCAAGTGACTTTATTTATTCAATTTTTATGATTTATAATTACAAAATAAAAATCATAAAATTACATAATAAAGATGAAAAAAGTATAATCTAAAATTCTTTATCATCTCTATATAGCTGACATGAAGCAATAGTCATATGCTAGTGGCATTAAAGTTGTTAAATTGGAGGTTCAGCAAAGAACTATCCCGAAATGCCTGAATTTGCATTTTTAAAAGCCATTCAAACTTAAAAAAAATTGCAACGTTAGCGTTAGAAAATAAAAGTTACTAAAATAAATAATTATTGAAAAATTACTTTATTTAAATAATTAATTTATTACATAAATAAAAAATTGCTTATAAATGATTATTATGAATGAAAGAAAAAATCAAAGAACTCAATCTGACTTCTTTCTCTTTTTATTTATCTGACCATTGTGTAAAAATTTAACCTAATTTATTCAGGTTAATTTTATATATTAAAATGTACTTAAAAATCCTTTCAAATCTGCATATAACCTATCATATAAGGCTAGACAAAAAAAATTTAGATTCTCATGACCTTGCTGCCTCAATTTTTACAAAAATTCATGATTATTTTTTATATATTAAAATTGTTTTTTACATGACTTATATAATAAAAGTCGTAATAAAGTATAATTAATATAAAGTACATAAAAAAAATTTATATATAAAAAATAAAAATTGGTAACTGTTAAATTTTAAACTTTATGTCACGAGAATCACAAAATTTATTTTGCCTAGCCTAAGTTATATTCTAATATGATTATATGGTCAATAAAATAGTGACCCAAACTGATTTTCAAATTCGAGTTATACAGTAATCATTGGTAAAATCATCTCTTTCTTAAATATGTTTTAATACATAATGATATAGAACTAAAAAGAATTTAAATTAATTAAAAAACACCAATCAAACCTTATTTTTAATATTGCCGCAGCCAAGATTTTTGATATTAAAAGATGATTTATGCTTTCTTCTTCATTAAAATCAGGTATAATATTAAATATAAAGTTTAATTTATATTAAAAAAACTACACTGAGAGATGATGATAAGCAAATTGGTTTTTATTAACCAGAATTAAAATTTTTTAATAAAAAAAAAAGAAAAAATCTGCATATGCAGATTCTGCATATACAGATTTTAACTTGATTACTGCAGATGAAAATATCACCAAAAACATTATTAAAATTTATATTTATATAAAATAAAAATACTTGTTTAATAAATTTTTTTAAAAATATACATCTTTTTATTTTAATAAAAAATATCTAGGGCATTTAATTAGCAAATTGACGCAGAAATTTATGATAAGTAATTTGCTTAATACAGTATAGTTTTTTACTTTATTAATTTAACGTTAATAAATATTAGAAATAAATTCTAAGAAAGCAATAAAAGTAAAAACATTAATTGTATAGAAAATTGATCTACAAGTATCAGAAATACTGCTCTCTCTCTCTCACAATATAAATAATTTCAATATATATGTTTGTCTTGAGCTCTGCATCGCGTCATTCATTGAATTTTTAAATTACAATTAAAGTGAATATTAACGAAATCTGTTCAGTTTATTTTATTTTATTTTTTGAAAGATAAAGTAATAGTTTATTCATAATATTAATAGAAAATTTAAACTATATTTGAGTTCAAAGAAAGAATGGATGGGATAGATATTTATTTGAAAATGATAAATTAATTATATGATAATAAATAATAAATCTAACAAGATTCTTAAAATACTTTATTTTTCTTGGAAATTGTTATGTATAATTTAGGTTAATTTTAATTCGATAATTTGTATAATTAAACGATAGAAAGTTTAAGTATATACATTTACTAATAAAAAAGCGAGCAAAATATTTTAAAACAATGTAACATATTTACACACTTCTTTTTAGAAACCTTTTGCATATTTAAAAAAATAGTCCATTGTTTAAACTCAAAATTTATTGACAGCATTAAGGAGGCCACAAGTATGAAGAATGCCGTAGCAAAGCTATGGCAAGGAAATTTTGAATAAAATATACGCAGTCAAAATGAGCAGAATTTTTTTAAAATGCTAACCAATCATATTTCGTAAATATTTTTTTTTTTATTAAAACATTAACAATCTTAACAGATTTTTGTTATCAAGTATTTCATAAATTTCTAAATTTTAAATAATGACAAATAATAAATGTAAAGCTAACGAAGTTTAGAATTAATTAATTCTTAAGTAAATTTCCATCATATTTTAGCTTATTTTCCATCTTGAGATGCAGCGAATTTCTTTCTAATTTTACCAAATATTGATTACAGTAATCTTTTCAACAATTTCAGGGCTTGTGGCAGCATAAATTTTTGAACCAGAATAATCTATTTTGATGACTCTTGACTTTGTAAAGATCAACTAATAATAGTTAAACTTTAGAGTGATGTAAATTTCATAAAATAAAGGTCTTGTTTTAACTTTTTTAGCATGCTATTGTTACATTAATAATTATATGTATCGTAAGATATATTGGTTTTATTAATAAGCATATACTATTATTTTCTTCTTATTTTATTTTTAGTTTATTTGCATTTATTATTAGCATTTATTATTAGCATTTCATTTATATATATGTTTTATTATTATAGTATTGCTTAATATTTTATTTACAATTATTATTATAAGAAATTCAGATAACAAAATTTAAGTTAACGTAATGAAGATCACTGGACATTATTGTTCACTGGCCATTAAGGTTCACTGGCCATAATTGTTCACTGGCCATAATTGTCCTGTTAGAAATTTATGTATATAAAAGGCGGAATTTCCTTTAATAAAAGATATATAGTTTTTTAAGACAATAACAAAGAATTAAATACCTGCAATAATGAACAGTTCATCCAATCCTTGAAAAAGTCTGATAATTCCCTAAACATGAAAACATTATTATTATTTCTCTTTACATTTTTATTGTAATAACTCTGAAAGATATAATTAATAAACATACCTAATTATATAGAGCTCAGACGTTGCAGGCAATATGATATCTATGTTGTGTTAGATTAGGAATTCTGATTATTATTAATTAAATTAGTAAAAACAATAAAATGATACCTTCTGCTTACCTTAAAACTCTGTTTATAACTCATAAACATCAAAGAACTGCTATTAACACTATTAATACAAAAAATCCGTTAAAAATCAAATCAATTAAATAAAAAATTTTTATTATTGAGTTAGAACTGGTTAATTTCTAACCGGTTAATTAATTAGTTAAGACATTTATCTTGTTAACCGGGTAAAGATTTTTTTTAAGCTGATTAAAACAACTAATGCTAACACTAGTCGAAATTTAATTTTTGGGCAGAATTAAAACTTTTTTGCAATTACAAAATTTCGCTAGTTTTGCCCAAATTTATAGTGTTAGTCTGAGTTAAATTTAACTGGTTAATAACTGGTTAAAGAAATTTTTAACTGGTTATTAACCGGTTAAGGATTTTTAGGCTGATTCCAACTTCTAAATATTTATAATTTAAAATTTGAAATTTATTTTTTTTTTAACTATAAGGTGAAAATTTGCTTTATTTAGTAATACCGCCTCATAATTATTAATAATTTGCATAATACAATTCTCTCAAAAAAAAATTACAATAATTAAGTTATAATTTAATATTTACAGTAACATTTAATTTAAGTGCTGTGCCTTAAATACTGCGGTAAAATCTTCATATCTTGATACAATATTTCATTATCATTATACAAGATAATTTTTTGGAAAAAAAAAATTTTTTTTTTTTAATTTAAAAAAAAAGCTTTCTTTTAAAAATAATAACAATGTCTTATAGTGACATAAAATTTAATAAAAAAACTTAAAAATATTTTCATCAAACAAAAAAAAGAAATAAAAAATACTAAGCTCGAATGAATTTCATTAACGGGTTAGATGATTTCTAAAGAAATA